TGAGCCGAAGGCAGTCGCTTAACCAACTGAGCCACCCAGGCGCCCGGAAAATGTGAAATTTAATAGGCAAGATCAACAGGCCTGTGTAAAGCCTCAGAGGTATAAAAGACTCAAAAGCTGGGAACATCAAGTTTTTGGGATGTCTGGAGGGCCGGGTCCATTTAGTAGGAAGATGGAGCTGGAAAGGCCAGCAGCTGCCACCTCTCCATGAAGGGCCTGATGACAAGCTTGGTGGTTGGACTTTATCTAGTAGACAGGGGGAGCCACTGAGGGATTTTAAGTAGGATAGTAACAGGATCCAATTTGCATTCTAGAAGGACCCTTTTTGTGGGGCTCTGGAGGGTGGATTGAATAAGGTGGTTAAAAAAAAAAAAAAAAAAAGGTGGTGAGACCACTAGGCTGTGGTATTAGTCCAGGGAGCCACGATGAGGCCCCATCGGGGAAATCATAAGGGGACAGGGGCAAGGGCACACATGTTGAGAAAGTTTCTGAAGTGGAACTGAAAGGACCAGAGAATGAAATTTGGAAAGAAAAAGACCCGGTGAGGAAAATGTCAGTTCAGCTCAATCACGTTGGTGAGCTTCCACCAGGGGCTGCGAGTCTTTCGAGTCTCGGGGATGAACAAGGCAGCTTGCTCACCAGAGCGGAGACAGATAAGGGAAAGGGTGATTTTACAGCCACACAGTGGCTAACATGTCCTGAGCACTTACTGTGTTCTACAGGCTCCAAGCCCTTTATGGGTTTACTCATTCGGCCGTCACCACGGCCTTGTGCGCTATGACTTTCATCCCCACTTCACAGGTGGGGAGACTGAGGCACAGGCAGGCTCCCTGCTCTTCACCCCCAGGCTTGCTGCTACTCCCTCAAGGTATTTGAACCATGACATAGTATGCCCTAGAGTTTTCTAGCACAGTTTCCCAGGTTCCTGCTTGTACAGCTGGGTGGATTATGGTCAAGTAACAGGAATCTGGAAGAGGAGGGGCAGGCTTAGGTTTGCTGAAGAAGTGACGTTATGAGTTTGCTTCTGGTAAGTACTCCGGTTCCTGAAGAGGAACCTGTGTTTCTTGTAGACTTTTGGGGCTGGCTTTGGGGGAGGGGCAGGGCATGTACTGAATACCTATCATATTCATGTGTGTATAGAATTATGTACTAAGTGACAACATATTATGGCACTTTATGCATGTGTTGTCTCTCTACTGAACAGTCAGGTTCTTTGAAAGCTGGGACGGCATCTTAGATGGCTTTGAGTCTCCCAGAACACCAAGTGCAATGTAGCAGACAGACAATAACTCTTCGTTGGCGGAGAGTGGGTGCCTGACCTATTATGGGAGGAGGGCACATCTTGACCGATGCTCTGCTTCTCGGGAGCATCCAGGCCACCAAGAAGCCTCTGGGACCAGGACCTTCGGGGCACAGAAGTCGGGATGGGGTGGGGATAAGATGGCATTCTCACCATCAGCTGCTTGATGGTGGGGTGTTCCTCAGCCTCCCGGCCGGAGGCAGGCTCCTTATGGACAATCTCCACTCGGATGTCATTCTTGGCCGACACAACCCCTTTGAGATCTGGACGTAAAATAGGAAAGTGTAGATGACAGGTTCAGTCCATCCTCAGGCGTCAGGGCCTGAGATGTCAAGCCCCCACTTCCCCCCACCTCCACCCCCAGGGTTCACCCTCCAGCCCCTGAACTCAGTAGCTTCCAGCCCCCCCCGCCGCCACCTCAGTAGAACACCTGTCTGGATGTGCTGTGGGCTGTTGGGGCTTCAGCTCTCTTTCTCTGTGGGTCGTGTTAGGTGCACCTCAGCCTTCCACTCTGCTGCCCTGGCTTGAGAGGCCATCCTCGTCCGTTCATCTGCCTCACAGAGCTAGGTCCTTTTTATCTTCCTTCTAGAAGTCTTCCCTGGCCTACTCTACCAGGCTCTTCTCTCTCCATTCAGAGAATCGCTAATCTTACTGTCAGAAGGGGCTTCGGGGTCCCATGGTCCATCCCCCGCCCAAAGCAGACACATCCCTGACACGTGGCGGTCCGGCTCTTGGGTCAATGCTTCGGTGGTGGAGACTTTACAGGCTTCTAGGGGAGGCAGCTGATTGAGAGTCAGGGAGCTCTGTAGAAGACTCTTGCTAAAACATGCTCCCCTATAATTTCCACTGAGAGGGTGGTCAGGGAGCTTCCAAGACCACATCACCGGGGGCAAGCAGGAGAGCCATGGCTGCTAGGCTTGGGGTGGACGAAACCTAGTTGGGGACACCCCGCTTTCTTCTAACACATCCAAGTGGTGGAGGGAGTCGGCTTCCTCTGATTATTCATCTTGTGCCTTAGGATCATCGAACGTTAGAGCCAGTGGGGTCATAAAAGTCTCATCACGCAATCCCTTACTATTACACGCAAGGAAACCGAGGCCGGGAACAGTTGCGGCCTGCCCAGACTCGCGTGAAAAAGGCGGGGCTAGAAGCCTGAGCCCCTATTGGTGGCAGAAAAAGGTGGGGCTAGGAACCCGAGCCCCCATTGGTGGCAAAAAAGGGCGGGGCTAGAAGCGCGAGCCCCATTGGTGGCAGAAAAAGGCGGGGCTAGAAGCCCGCGTCCCCACTGGTTTCCTTCACGCAGTCCTCCCAGTTTATACTTCCGCGCATCGCGCCCTTGACAAGTAGCGTCAGAGCTGCGCTCGGGCTGGAACTCCAGGTCCGCGTGATTCCTCAAGAGTGCTTGGGCACCAGAATTTTATCGCTAGTGACTGCAGACCTTTAAAAGTCTTCACAGAGGGATTCCTTGAGGGCTTTTCTCCCCCTCGGTGTGGCTGACCTACTTCTCTGGTTAGACTAGCAGAACCTGGAGCGCAAGGATCAAGCCACCTCTCCCCCAACCCCCTCCCAGAGTTCTCCACGGTTCCATCCAGCCATAGGTGCTCAATCCCAAGTGCTGGCTGACGGCCTTGGCAGACGAAGCTCACTTCCGTCCAGTTCCACATCAGTTGCGTGCCCACTACGTGCCACACACCACGCAAAGCACTGCACGTAAGAAGATGCCAAAGACCCCATCCCTACCCCAGCAGCTCACAGCGGGTTAGGGCCCCCTGCTCACGGCACTCCTGCTTACTTGCTCTCCGGAGCAGTCTAAGCCTGGCCTTTTTCTCTGTCCCCCTCCCTGAGATCCCGGGTCTCCCTCCCGTACTTCTCTGGGAGCGGGCACAGCAGAAGGCCACAATGGTTGCCAGAAGGACGAGGAAGGCCACACCAGCTCCTACGGCCACCCCGATGATGACGGCCATCGGTACAGACTCTGTGGGAGAGAAGCAGGCACAGCCCATGGGAAATCGGGGACAACCCACTCTCCCCACGAGGGCCTTCCCCAGTTTCCTCGGGAGCAGCCCCTGGGGCCAGACACCTGCACTCAGGCGCTCCTAGGAAGTGCCTGGGGAGGGGTGGGAGTGGGGCCTGGGCAGGCCCAGGCAGAGTTCCAACAGGGGTCACCTCCACCGAGGAGGGCGTGTGAGGGACTGGGGAAGAGGGGAGCAGTGGTGGGTGGGGAGGGAGGCAAGCAGATACGGGGAGGGGAGGGCCAGGGAGGGCTACCCGGAGATGAGAAGCAAGGCTGGGGTACCCTTTAGCTCCCTTCTGTACTAAACCAGGAATAGTCTATCATGCGGGGGCTGGAGAGTAGAAAGTCCTGGATTTTTTATTTTTTTTTGAAAAACGACTACGGTCACTTCCCTTGTTTGCCTGGTTTGTGCTCTCCTTCTCTTCCCGTTCCCAGGTGCAGAGGATGGACATGGACCACCAGCTTTTAGAGAGTTCTCAGGCCTGAGGCAGCTTGTCCTCACGGGCCTGCCGGGAATCGGGGTAGTAGCTGCCAGAGGCCCAAGTCTTAGCTGCAAGGGGGGCGGTCAGGATCGCAGCTCACCCCCCACCTCTCTAAGGAGAAATGCTCCTTTTCCTTGGCCCCCCACCCCCAGTTCTGCTCCTTCTCCTCCCGGGCCAGTCCCCAGGCATCCTGGTAGCCCTCTCTTCGAGGGGCCCAGAACTCCAGCTAGGCAAGCCCCTCACTCCCTGCTGAATTTATCTGTTCAGTGCCCTAGCCTGGTGGAGATGCGGATGGGGAAGGTATATGGGGTGGGGGGGTTGTGTGTGTGCTCTTCCAGACAGCCCTGGCCCTTCTGTGGCTACATGTGGGCTGGGGTACAGGATTTGGAGCCCCGAATAGTCCATTGGGAATAGAATTAGAAAATTTGGGGGCAGGGAGACCTTACGGCCTGCTGAATCCAAACCTCCCATTTATAGATGGAAACACTGAGGTCCAGAGAGGTCGCATGACTCAGTCAAGGACACAGAGCTGCAGAAGGCCAGGGCAAATCCCAGCCTCCTCTTGCTCCCCAGCTCCGTCTGCTATATCACACAGCATCCTCCAAAGTTCACGTGCTCTGGACAGCCCAGACGCCAGCACCTTTTCTGAGCAACTTACCTCACCTCTCTATCTCTAAAATGGGATCATTACAATGCCCACCTCAGGGGGTGGTTACAGGGTTTCGATGAGTGATTGCAAGGAAAGGCCTTGAAACTGAGCCTGGCACCAGTCCTAGTTGAGTGTTTGCTCCCGTTTCTGGAGGGGTAGGAGAAATGTAGCAAGGTCAGAACCTTGAATGAGAAGAAAATTCCTTCTAGAGCCTGAGCTCCCTGCCCCCTAACCTGCCCCACATTGTCAGTGTGGATGACTGCAGGATGTCTGGGACTTCATCTTGGGCTGTGGGTTAGCCTCTCATTGCTGTTGTTTGCTTTAAAGAGGGGAAGAGAGGAAGAAACCGTCCAGCCCTGGCCCGTGGAGGTGCAGCTGGGCGGTGGCGGCGGGTTGGCCCCTCGCGGGAGGAGCAGGTGCCCGGGGTGGGCAGTGTTGGTGGCTAGGCTGGATGTGCACAACAGTGCACTCATCAGCTGCCTGTTGGTGGCCGAGACCGCTGTGAGAGTGGCAGGGGAGGGGACAGGAGAAGGGGGGTTGCGGAGAATATGCAGGGATTGAAAATGGGAGGTGTCTGGGTTGGTCTCAACAGTCAGGAGTGACAAAGGGGACCTACCTCAGTAGACCTCAGTCAGACCCATGAGCTTGCTTTGGTACGTAGATGATTTCTGTCTTTGGGTTTTAGTTCTGATAGGCAAGGAAAACTGCTTTGGAAGCTCACTGGCTCTGTACTTTTGAATTTTATTAATTTGGGCTCGATTTGGTTCCTCCTTGATTCCTAGTAAGTCTCCTTGGAAAAACTCGAGTCTTGTCTCAGCTGAGCTCAAAGCCAAAGGACGACTGTGGAAGGTTCCTTAAGCTCTCCAGGCCTCGCTGTCTCTCCCGTCCAACTAGAGGACCAGGAAACAGTATCTAAGGTGACTTCTGACCCTGGCATCTTGTGAGGCCACATTTCCTTCAGTTGTTAAACGGCACCATCTTATCTGGAGAACTGTCTCCGAGTGGGTGGGCTGGGGCAGAGGGAGGGTCTGCTGGGGTCAGGGGGACCATTGGGGTGGCAGTCCCTCTGCAGCCCGTCTGTGTGTGTTTCCTCCTTGCCTGGCTACCTGGGCTCTGGCCAAGGCCGCCTGGGCAGGCTGTCCCTCTTGGATGTTCCCTGGAGAGGGCCCGGAGGAAGGAGCCACCCTCCTGCTCAGCCTCCCCTCCTAACAAGGAGGGGAACTGGGCATGAGGAGTCTCAGCCAGGAAAGAAGGTGTCGGGGAGCTGCAGGTGAGTGTGAACAGACGGGTGACATGGAGACAAGAAGACAAGAAACTACCTCCCGCGCCAGGAGTGGTTCTGAGGGAGAATACAGCAGGGGTCCATGTGCTGCCTCTGGGAGCTTGCCTGGGCCCGGACGGGTGCTCTTAAAGGGCAGATCCGCCCAGAGGGGAGGGTGTGTGGGCCCCACAAGGAGCTTGATGAAGGGACTGGCGGGCCCTAGCTCCTTCAGGGTCCATGTGGCAGAGGACCCCCACATCTTGCTCACGGCCCTTGTCGGCCCCCTGGAGTCTGGCTTGCAACGTCCTGATTCTCTTTTTGGGTTTCTGCTTGGAGAGTGGAGGCGGTTGTCGCGTGTGGGATCCTAAGACAGAGCAACTCAACCCTGGGAGCCTGAGGACCACCTTGCTGCTGGGCACGTGGGGAGGGAGGCACTGCCCCGCAGCCTCAGCCCCGGGGGTGGATGACACTTCACTGGGGGAAAGGCAGGCAGGAGTAGGGGGAGGAGGCAGCGAGCAGAAAGCATGGATTAGCATGGATTATGCAGGCCCAGGGGCTGGGAGGCCCTGGCGTCCTGGGAAGCATGGCCAAGCTGGTGATGATGTTGAGAAGCGGGAAGAGTCTGGGAGAGCCTGGAAACAGAGGGAGGCCAGGCCAGGGGCGAGCTGAACCCAGAGGGGAGGAGCCAGGGTTTCCGAAGAGACGGGATGGGAGGACAGAGGGGGAGGAGTGAGAGCCGGTGTCCTGGGCTGCCAGCAGCCTGTGGGCTCTGGCATCGGCGACTGAGGAGATAGGTCTCTGGGGTCTCTAGCCCCAGCTGGCTGGGAACCCCTCTCCCTGCTCTGGCTGCACTAAAGCCTGGAGGTGGGGGGAGGGCAGAGAAGTTAGTGGCCTGCACAGGCCTCCCTACCCCTTTAGGGTCCCTCCCCCACTAGCCCAGAGGTCCCTTCCTCCCAGCCCGGGGAGTTCTCATGTCTCCTTCCGTACCTGCTTCCAGCCCGGCTCCCGACTTCATTTCCGAACCTGTTTGGAAATAAAGCAAGCGTCCACAGCCAGGGCCTGGCTGGCCAGGGTGGGGTGGGCCTGGGGCCGGCCACCTGGTGGGGATCGGGATGAGGGTCTCCCTCCTCTCTCATGTTTCCGGGACCACCCAACAGACCCAGGCTAGCTGAACTGAACGGGGCGTTCTTTCAGACTGACTTAGAAGAGACTCCAGAGGGGTAGGGACCAGAGAGAGAAGTTAAGGCTTGGGAGGAGGGGGGTGTCTGGAGAGGGTGGGGTGAGAACACTAAGGGGAGGGCATGGGGGTGGGGGCACTCAGGGGAAGACATGGAGGGCAAGCAACGGGGGACTGGGAGGGTTTAGGATGATGTGTGGATGATAGTATGCAAATTATGTGCAAAGCATTATGCAAAGCAGCACTATTAGTGAAGAGGTGTAAGGAGACACTGATCCGCAGGGTAGCGCTGAGGTCCGAGGGGTCCAGCTGAGACCACCTGCTTGGCCCAGAATTTCTTGCCAGGCCCTGACAGCCTGTGGGTGCGCCTGCATCTTGGAGGGGTTGGACACTGCCAGGGCCGAGGAGCCTGGACCGCCCTGTCTGCCATAGACTGAGCCCCCCTGGCAAAGGGGCAAGATCTGCAGCCCATTTCAGGCCCTGTGTACTGCTGGCTGTCTGCCGAGCAGCTCAGAGCCACCCTGCGGTGCCCCTCGGACGCTCCCAGCCTGTGGTCCGCGTGAGACCTTGAAGCGGAGACTAGAGTTCTCAGCATCTCTCTGACCAGGAGATGCGCAGTCTGTACACGGCGTCACAGGGGGGATGAGCCTTCCTGCCCCACCTCCTCGCCCGCCCAGCAGCTCTGAGCCCTCCTGCCCAGCGCTGCCCTCTGGCCAGTGTCCCCTTCAGAGCACAGTGGTCCATAGGTCTTCTATGGTCCTGGAGGAACTGCAGGGGATCTGAACCTGTACCAGGGGTTGGGGGCAGCCTAAGTACTACCCCTTAGCTTAGCATGAGCACCCTCTGGCGGACTTTTGGGGAACCAGACTGGCTTATTGTCTTAATGGGCTGGGCCAGGTTCCCCAACACATCCGTCCTGGTGTACCCCCACAGGGACACTCCTCAATGGATGACACCCCCCTAAGGACACTAGGGAAATGCCGAGTGCACAGAAGCCAGGGCCCTTAGAAGCTGCTGGAAGGCTCCTCTGTGGTCACCTTTTCCTGAAACACCATCCTGGAGAACCACCAACCTAAGCAGGTTTCCTCCCCCTTTCCTTTCCTGGTGTGCCTTGGCCTTGGGGGCACTGGACCACGGAGGGCCACTTCCTGTGACCTGACCAAGGCTGTGGAATAAGTTAGGAAGTGCTCTGTGGCTTGTCCTCGGGCTCAACCTGCCTGTGGCCCCAGCTGGGCTTTGTTGGTTCAAGACCCTGGAAGACCTTGCCTGGGGCCCTGCCGGTCCTGTCATCCCCTGGCGGCCCCCACCTTGCTCCTTGAGCCGGATGATCTCCGTGTCGGAGCCAAAGCTGTTCCAGGCGGTGCAGTTGTAGATGGTCTGGAAGTCGGCCCGCACGATGTTGCTGATGGTCAGCGTGGAGATGACCCCCTCTTCGGTGCTGACCGTCTCCACCGTGTAGCGCCCCGACGTCCCCGACTCCAGCACGTTCTCCTTCCAGGACCAGGCCTGTCCGAGGTGCGCAGAGTGAGGAGGAGACCCCCACCCCCCCGCCAGCGCCGCCCTGCCACCTCCCTGCTCCAGGCCGGGAGCTGCCAGGCTCGCATCCAGCAGCATCATGCCCACGGGTCCTCACACGCATCCCAACATGCCACAGACGTGTGCACGCAACACACATCAACGCACATCACAACACACACACCAGACCACACACGCACATAACCATGCACGCGTACACGAAGGCTGGGCCACCCCGGAGGGCATTTCCACGGACAGGGGGCCTTCTGTGGCTCTTCCCTGGGACACCTTCCGGGCAGACAGGGAACCCTGTGACAGCGATGGGAGCCCCCCGCCCTCGGCGGGCCCTCGGCTGCCCTGGCAGGTGGGAGAAGAAGACCAGCCCCAGAGTGACTGAGCCTAGTTTTGTCACTTTGCTCCTTGGTACAAACATAGGTTCCAAGAGTTGTACTCATGACCATCTTAACCTGTCTTAGTTTCTTTTTTTTTTTTTTTTAAAGATTTTATTTATTTATTTGAGAGAGAGCACATGAGAGGGGGGAGGGGCAGAGGCAGAAGCAGACCCCCCGCCGAGCAGGGAGCCCGACGCGGGACTCGATCCCGGGACTCCGGGATCACGACCCGAGCCGAAGGCAGTCGCTTAACCGACTGAGCCACCCAGGCGCCCAACCTGTCTTAGTTTCTAAGGCTGAGAGTGGAATTCTTCTCGGAGCCTTTCTGCATTTGTCAGCGTGTGAGCGCCGGGCACACAGGCCCGGCTTGCGGCATCCGGGAGAATGTGACAGTCTCTGCGGGTAAGCACTCGGCGGTGGTGGGTGAGGTGCCAGGGCTTCCTCCGACTTGGCACTGGTGACATTCTGGACCGGAACACTCCTGGTTGTGGGGGCTGGCTCGTGCATTGTGGGAAGTTTAGCAGCATCCCTGGCCAACATCTGCTCGGTGCTGGTAGCACCCCTCTGGATTGTGACAACCGACAATGTCTCCAGACAATGCCGAACGTCCCCTGGGCGGGGGTGGGGGGAGGGGAACTTGTCCCATTGAGAACCGCGGGCCAAGAGTTAGATCTCTATGAAAAGAAAGATCGTGCGAACACGCTCAATGGTGAACGGGTTATTCCCATGGGCATGGGTTACAGTTACAACTTAAAAAAAATTGAAGGGCGAGGGGAACAGGGGCATTAGTTCTATGTATGACTTCTTGCAATTTGCGTGTGAATTTTTCAGACAGGGAACGAGCCGAATGCCTGAAAAAGTGTGTAACACACGTGATGCCCTAACCGTATCGGAGTTTACAGGATGACACCTTGAGCGTTTACAGCTTCAACATCCCAGCCCCTGGCACGCACACGCCCCGGTTGCTCAGTGTGCACCCCCTACGTCCTCCCTGGTGGAGCTGACCCTGGGGCAGTCTTCTATCAGGACTACGCTAGGCATCGGGGACCACTTGAAATAGTATCTGACTTCCATTGATGCTAGAAAATGCTTCCCCTTCTCTGTTTTCGTGCCTGGGCTCCCACCGGTTTCAGATGGACTTGGGTGAAGACCCTGGCTTTTACAAAAGCAAACACCTGGCAGGGCCCAAGTGTGAACTCTTCAGGAGGCCTTAGAAGCACTGCAGGGACGGGGATGAGTTTTGCAGAAGGGAGGGACAATGGAATGATACTTTTGGGGGGGGAGAACTTGGTAAGTGGGTCGGGGCAATCCACGGGCACCTGGAGGCTAACAGAGGAGAACTCTGGGGGGGTGAAGAAAGGGGGTTGCCGACCATAAACCACACTCTGTCTAGGATTTTGCCGAAGACTGGCCTTGAACCCAGGAAAGGGAAGCAATCACTTAGCATTCCTTTCTGCTACCCTCACTTGCCCCTCTGCTCCTAGGACGCAGAACTTGGTTGGAAGCATTACTGTTATTACTGTTAGGGCACATCTGGACAGCAGAGCAGAGTTAAAGACACTTGCAGACCAGCCCTGGGAGCACACTGTCTTCATGATGCCTTTCCCAGAGAGACAAGGCAGGTATAATTTTCCCCACGGAGGATGGGAAGCTCAGAGGCCTGGTGGTTGTAAGGGGCGGTCTGAGATGAGCCGCCAGGGGAGTCCCCCAGCCCTCCCCTCCCTGCCCCAGAGCACTCACGATTCGGTCGGGTGGCGGCGTGCTCCGGATGAAGCACTTGATCTGGCCCTTCTCCCCGTGCAGGGCATGCTGGGTCTGGGTGCTGGAGATGATGGGGGGTCCTGTTGGGGAGACAGCATCACACCAGGGAATCAGGAAAGGCAGGTACCTGGCTGGACCCTTCTGGGACGGGGTTCAGAAGTTGACCCATTCATCCAACCCTTCGGCACACATTTACTGGAGGCCTGTATGTGCAAGGTAAAGTGCAAGGCAGGGGACTCAAAGATAAATTAAGTGTTCAGTCAGTCATAACCCTCTCAAGGGATGACGAGCGAACGCTTCTAAGTCAGAATGCCCAGAAGACATAAATAACCGTCATAAAAGGTGGTGAGTTTTCTTACCACGGCGCCGTACACATGGAGAGCCAACGGACTCCAGAGGAGGGGGGCTAATTCTGCCTGGCGGGTGGGGAAGGCTTTATGAAGGAGGTGGGAAACCTCAGAAGAGAGTAGGGGAAGTGTTGGGGAGGAAGGGATACTAAGTAATGTTACCTCTCTAACTAATACCACCTCTGCCTTAGTGGGCTGTTCCATTCGAGCCATTCTTGCCCATGTCCAGGAGAGGGCGCGCTTGCCTAACAAACTGGGTGCCCTCGCAGGGCCGGGCAAAGCCGGGAGGAACCGGGAGAAAGAGAAGGAAATGCTCGTGTTCCTCTGGGGGGTAGGGGGGAATCACCCTGCTTAGGGGGAATGCGCTGGGCGGGTTCACAACCTTCATCTCACGTGTGTCTTGGAGGTCCCGTAGTTCCTGGCCTTGCCTGCCTCCACATAGGCACCCATACGGCCCAGGTGAGACCATGGCTCCAAAGCTGATCAGGACACGATCCCGTCCAGCGTGTGTGTGTGTGTGTGTGTGTGTGTGTGTGTGTGTGTCACGATCCCATCCAGCGTGTGTGTGTGTGTGTGTGTGTGTCACGATCCC